CACTTGACTTCTCCCGACTCGATGCCAATGGTAAAGATATATTTACGAATCATATAAACTTTGGTGATTAATTCTTCATCTTTATTTTTCCAATTGGCAATTAATTCTCCATCTTTATTTTTTATTGAAAGTGAGCAATTCTCCATCTCTACTTTGTATCCTTTTTTTCCTGAAGTTAATCAATGTGATGATGTTGTTTTTCAAAGCTGGTATATAATAATCATCTTAATTCATTTCTTTTCACTATTTTTTTATGTTATCATAACTTTGCCTTTGACTTCTGCATGTGAGTCTCATCTTTAAATGTTACTTGATCGCAGATCATTTCATCTAACTTCACAAACAACTCCTTTTGACCACACATATGATTACTGGAATAATTATTGAGATACCAAATATTTTTCTTGAATTCTTCATTTCCTTTGTTAGGGAGGAATACACAAGATTTTTCATCTTTTTCTTCTTCTGTTGCTTCTACATTATTTCTTTCTTTGTGTTTAAGAGTTGATCGAGATTAATAACTAAAGTGACCATAATTGTTGCAATTTTAACATTGTATCTGAGATTTATTTCTTTGATAATATCTACCTCAGCCTCGACCTTTGAATTTTCATCCACGGCTTGATGTTTAGTATTTTTCACTCATTTGATTAGTGGTATATGATTGACCACCACATCTTCATATTCCTCGTCTGCCTATATATCTTGCATGATAACCACTATAATTTCCTTGGCCTCGTGTGTAGTTGATGCCAGCTTCACTTTTGTTGACTTTCATCTTACTTTGCAAAACTTGCTCCAAATTTTCAAAATCTTCATTTTTGTAATATCCCAAAATTTGGACTAGTAACTAAAATGTAAGTATAAATTTGTAGAAGTTTAGAGACTAAAAATGTAATTTTTAAAAGTTAAATATCTAGACCATAAATGAGTAGTTCAATCCAAGAATAGAATTTTAGTGGGTTTCATAATTTTGATTTGGATTTTGTATAAAAATTTATTAAGTGATAAAGTCCGATAAATTATTCGGATAACTGGATCAAATCGGAAGCTTACAAAAATTTCAAGGAAGGTAGTTTGAGGTTAGGAAAACTATATTGATATTTTTAATCAGTGTAATTTGGTGTGGATTAGTGGAATTTGGTGGAATTTCCATGTTAAAGTGTTATAGTGAAATTTAGTGACTAAATTAAATTTTTGGAAAAATAGAAGGGCAGAGATGGAAATTAATAAATCTGATTGTTCTATTTATTTAATGTTATTAAAATAGAGATAAAAGGATGGCATGGAGGTAATTATCAAGATTCATTAAGGGTACTTTGGACTTTAAGGATTAAAATGAATTTTAAATTCATTTTAGTTAGAATAAATACAAGCGTCCCAAGATTTTTTACATGGAAAATTCAAGAAATCCTTTCTTCTTCTTCCTCAATTGTCGTGGGTCTCCATAGAAGGTGAGTAAGTTTTTATCAATTTTTTATTCATTTTATTAGGATTTTGGACTAAAGTGTGAAATAGAAAAATTATCTACACAAATTCTCTACATGTTGGTGTTAATATTTTATTGTTTCATGGCTCAAACTGTTGAAGTAGTTGGTGGATGAAGGAAATATTAGAATTCAATTAAATAAGGTTGACTTAAGATGCTAGGTGTGTTGTAGAGTTAGAATCAAGCATAAAAATTGATTGGAAACAATTATAGGGACTTGTTTAGTGATTTGGCCACTATAGGGAATTTATGGAAAATGTTGAATTTGATTTTTTTGTTGTTGAATTGATTGAGAACAATTGGAATTGAATGAAAATGAATTTTAGGTGATGAATTCATATTGGAATCAAGGTTGAGATTATAGGAAATTAATCCCTAAACTTTCAGCCATGAGGAATAATTATGGGAAAAATTGAAAATTTCCTAAGGGTTTATAATGGTTATAGGAATGATCCTAGGTGATTGAAATTGTGAAAAATTGGATAGATTTGAAAGTTTGTACAAGTTTAGGGACCAAATTGCAAAGTATGGAAATAATGGAATTAAAATGGAAATTGATTTGTATCTGACGAAAAAAAAAGTTTGAGTGGATTGTTGGAATACTCCAGTATTTAGTACACTTGTGTACTCCTGATCTTAATTGTGTAATAATTGGATTCATAATGTATTGATGTTATGAATTTTCATTCCGATATCTAGTATAGTGGTGTTCTATGCTACAGCAGCTATACTTCTGTTTAACACTTATCTTTAACTTCCTACCTAGTATGTTCATGGATGTACTTTAGGTAATTGGGTATCGTCATGTTAATAAGAAAGTCCAGTTTAATTGATTACATCAAAATATATGTGATGTATACCTAAAAATAGTGTTTTGCAAGGAAAAAAAAGATTATCACAAGTTTATAATACGCACTTATTTTAAGAAACAACTGATAATATTATTTTGTGATTATCATATGAGATTGTATATTAGTTGATATTATATTTTATTATAATTAATGTCTTACTAACTGAACCTAGTGTGTAATTATTTCACGTGTAGGCAAAGAGATAGTTCAAAGTAAGGAGCATTATTGACATCAATCTACCGAAAATCATTACATCACTATCAGTATGGCATCTTCTGATATTTTGATTTACATAGTGACATGTAGATATTATGCGAGTATCATGTTTGCTTTAATATGATAGTTATAAACCGGATGTGGTATTAAAATACTACTGACTTGAAATGGGTATTATTAAATATGAGTAGTATTTTGAATGCTTAGTATTTATCAAGTTATATTTATGATGTCAATTAGTATTGAACTACTAATTTATTATCTGAAATTGAATTTGAATTAGATGTTTAAAAATTATATTTTAATTTTTCGCAATTAAATTATTTAGTTTGAAAGGAATAAATTGTGAAAATTTTAAAGAAACATTTTTTTACCGATTTTCAACTACAGAGTGTCTATAAATGTTGTGTGACATCTTTAACTCGTATACAGGGACGTATATGAGTTAAGGGTGTTACAATTTTGTTTCATCTTCTGCTCATGGACTTGGAGTGAACCCACAAGCTCGTAAATAGATATTTAAGACAAATCTTTTGATTCTTCAATTGCTACTAGAATGTAGTCAAATTTTCGTATCAACAATCGCAAAATCTCTTCCATCACTCTGACTTTGTCGAGCGATTCACCATTTCTTTTTTTTTTTCATTTACAATCGCTTTTACACGCTAACGTAATCATCAACACTTTTTGTATTTTTCATTTTTAGCATTTCAAATTCAGTTCTTAGAGGTTGTACCTTCTTCGTTTTTTCGATAGTTTGTGTAGCACCCCAAATTCTGGGTTAGTAGTTTTGGGTTTACCTGAGAGGTATGTGGACCTCATGGAGTTTGTAATAAAAGTTTTTGGACCAAGTTGGGCTTAATTGGGTTAGAGTTGGGCCCAATTAGCCATAAAAGGGGAATTTTTTAATATTAGAAAGATGAGGAAAGACCAAATGTGCAATTTCACCTTTTTTTTAAAAGATGAGGGATTTTATATCTCATTCTATCTTCTTCTCTTCATTTCATCTTTCTCATTTCCATCTCCCATTTTTCTCTCTAAGTGTCAAATGTAAGATCTTGAGAACCTTTTTATACTTCTTTTAAGCTTCAATTCGTCCTCAATCCCTCCAGCAAACTTGTTTTAATGTTTGAAGCCTTGGGTTCTTTATAGCTAAAGAGAAAGTGAGGGTTTGCATCCAAATTTAGAGGAAGGGAGTGCGGCTAGGCAAGGAGTTTCATTTTGAGATTCTAACAACAATGTAATGTAATTCTAATCTTTTGGAGTGTTAAGGCTTCATAAGCATAAAGAATTGATAAGATTTTGTATTTGAGCATTTTTAAGGTTTCATACTTGATTCGTGTCATAGATGACGAATTTGATGTAAAGCATATGTTTTTATGATACTTTATGACCCTAAGAAACCTCCTAAAGCTTTAGCACAAGATTAGGAATCAAACTAAGATATTTTGTTTGATTTTTTATGTTTCCCGAGCTTAAATAAGACAATTCTGGGTTCAAGTATCGATACTGAATGAATTGCTACAAATTTGGGGATTTCCAATTGGGAGTATTGGTACTGCTGGGGACAGTATCGATACTGCCCCTACAGTATCAATACTCTAGGTACCTGGTATCGATACTGGGCCAAATTTTCAGATACAAAAGCCATTTTTGGTATTGATACTCATAGGGGTATCGATACTTGACCCTATGGTATCGATATTGCAAGTAGAGTATCAATACTACCCGGTTTGAATGGTTAGATTTAACCTCTCTAAGGTCCGTAAGAGCTAAGGATCAATACAACAAATTTGTTTATTTTTGACATTGAAAATATTGTCATTAAAACTTATATTTATGTCACTATTTGTATTCTGTGATATAAAATCCGATGTCACGGCAATCGTCACCCTATGTGTGTCACTAAATGTTTAGCGTGACTTCATATGTTTTTATCGTCACGTATTGTTAAACATATAGTGACGTTTATGTATAATGTCACTTTATTAGTTATATAAAATGACGTTTTGTTATGTCAATAAATAAAATAAAATTTTGTCACCAATCATTTATATTGTCACTAATAAGAATAAAATTTTACTATATAAATGACAATAAAATAATGTCACAATTTTTTATTTAAAATTTAAAATTATAAAATTACCATAAAAGTATAAATATTTATATAAATTACAATAAAAGTCTATTTTTTAAATATCACAATCAAGACTAAACTTTTTATAAATTATAATAGTTACCAATTTTTTTGTAAATTATAATAAATATCAGAACTTTATGTAAATTACAATAAATACCAAAATTTTCTAAAAATTACAATAAACACCAAAACTTTTTATAGATTACAATCAAAGGAAAAACTTCTCATAAATTACAGTAATCGCCTATACTTATTATAAATTACATTAAAAAGTCTATATTTTACAAATTAAAATAATACCCCATATTTTTTTACAAATTAAAATAAAAAGTATCCAAATTTGCCTATGAATGGCTTCGCAACCCTTGCATGAGTTACATCTCCTCTCATACCTTGGCAGCCTTGAACCTATATACGATCTCAATCTTGCCTTCTCTTCATTCAGTGTCTATCCAAAGTAAAAAGGGAGAAAATTCTCAAAATCCATTGTATTTAATTATAGTACTCATACAAAGAAATAAGTGTATTTTAAGTTAACAAAAATGAGAAGAGGCCTACCTGGGAAAAGCTATCAGATTTTGGATTTGATCCACCTGTAAAACAAGGTAGGAAACAAGAAAAATACTTCAAAACTAGAACTTAAAAACAGAGAAATACAATGTAAATACAAATAACAAAACAACAAAACTAAACAGATAAATACAAAGTAAATATATATACATAGACAAATCTGGATACTGAAAACAAGATATATCTAGACATCAAATCTGCTAGACTGAAAACATACACACACTAACTCATAGTACTAATTGTTAGTAAATATAAAGCACCAGACAACCACACTTACGGTTTTCAGTAGTAACCATGTGTGCAAAACCCCATAAGAAGGCCTTGAAGGATTACAATTGACACGCCTTGGACTCTATAACATGTTGTGCACATTATCTTTATAATCATGTGGACACTGGCCATTCTCCCTAGGATTTGGGGACCTCTGCTTGGTTCTGTATTCCTATTCACCATATGGAGAACGCAGAGAAATAGACTGTGAAACATTTCTAGATCACTTGGGAGAACGATGATTATCTTTTGCTTCAGCTGCATCTTCACCATACCGAAACTTCACAAAGCCACATATCATTACTAAGCATAATTAAAGAGTCGAGCACCTTTATTGGTACTAAAAACAAAATATCAGTAAGCCATCAAAAAGATAGAAAAACAATTTCAGCAAAAGACATTATAATAGAATGAAGCTCTATTCGAAGTACACTACAATCGTCAACAAAGAAACAACCAGAACAAACACAGACAAATGAATAAAGGACAGATCAATGGCGTACCCTGAGTAATAATTTTTCTTTCGGCATATAAACATCCTTCACCGAACCATACCATTCAAAGGAAAACCTAAGATCTTCTGGGCTAGCATCGATAGGGAGATTGCGAATGAGAAAATCAAAAAGAAGAGGGAATCGTTGACGGTGAGATCGGTGGTGATCACGAGGTTTATTGACGTACCTCTTTCTTTCACGTGTTGGAATATGGCTACGACGATGAGGACTATAGCTTCTTCTCTGACTTTGATGCCTCCCAATCCCTTGAACAGAAGATAAAACCCTAGTGTAGCGTAAGACAAAACAAAAATGTGAGAAAAAGATCGAAAACACTATTCTTTATCTTCATGAATAATAGGTAGGGTTAACTGCAAGGTAGGCCATCAAATTCTTTTGGGTTATCTTTTCATAATTTTCATTTTCAACCTCTAGCTTTTATGCTTTTATAATTTAATCCATAAATTTTATGTTTCTCACGTTTAACTCCCAAGTATTATAAGCACACTTAACTCCCAAATTATCATGATTGTACTTCTAACGCCAATTTTGATGGAATTATTATTATTATTATTATTATTATTATTATTATTATTATTATTATTATCTCAAGCCTCATCATTTTATTTTCAGCCCAATTAAGGTTTCTTAAAAATTTTAAAGTTGATTTAAAAATATTAAATATTATAAAAATTATAAAAATATGAAAATTTTGAATTTGTAAAAATTAAAAAGAAATATTAATTATTTCTATAAAATTTGAAAAAATATATAAAAATATTGCATTTTATTTAAAAATTATTTAAAATTTTAAAAAATAAAAATATCTAAAAATATATAGTCAAGGTTTTTGAACGGGAGATCTACAACACTATGTTTAGTGCTTATTCTCCAAGGGAACCTATGCCACTATAAGGTAATAATTCTTACAAGAAGGATCTATGATATCGTAACAAAACAATTCATCTCATAAGAGTAGTTTTTAATAAAGTTTTAATATTTTATATTTTTAATAATTTATATTTAAAAAATATTTTTAGTCACAGTTAAGACCCCAAATTATAATCTAAATTGTAATCATACAAATTCATTGAAAAAATATTTATAACATAACACAGTAACTCAGGCTCCAACTGTATTTCTCATAAGAAACTTTAGATTTTTTTTAGATTTTTTAATAATTCTTAAAATTTTATATTTTCTACATATTTTAATTTTAGATTTTTTTAATATTTTAAAATAATATTGTAAGATTTTATAATTTTTAAAGTAATTATGTAATATTTTATATTTAAAAAATATTTTTTTTATTTTAAAAGTATTTTTATTTTTGAATAAATTTCAGAGTTTTAAAAAATTAATTAATATTTAATATAATTATTAAATATTTTTAAAAAAATTTATACTTTTTAGTTTTTGAATCTTTATTATAATTATAATAATATTAAGTATTTTATTTTTTAAAATAAATTTTGAAATTTATATAAAAATAAATAATTTTATATTTTTTATATTTTTACATTTTAAAAATATTATTTAAAATATTTCCATAATTTTGTATTTTTGAAAAATTTTAAATTAAATTTTTAAAAAATCTAGAAATACATCCCTAAAGTTTGACATGTAATTCCCTTTGACGCTGCAACATGAGAAATAACTTAAAAAAGGTTAAGACTTAAAGTTGATCAAAGACCATAATTAATGTAATTTTATAGTTTGACATGTAATTCCATTTGACGCTGCAACATGAGAAATAACCTAAAAAAGGTTAAGACTTAAAGGTTGATCAAAGACCATAATTAATGTAATTTTATAGTTTGATGGCTTAATTGATTTAATTTCTTAATGCAAAGGCTTACTTGGGTGCAAAAAAAAATAAGTATTGAAATAATTTTATTTTACATTGTTAGGGATTTTTTAACTCTTCATAAAAAAAATAAATAAAAAATTCTTATATATATAATATTTATAGAGCACACAACTTTGAGAAAATTAATAGGAACGATTGAAATTATAACTCTAAAATCTAAGACTATTTTAAAAAAATTTCACCAATAAAATTTTAAATTAGTGACAAATCCAATATGTCTCTAAATAATTCTATGCTATTTTTCATGTTAATTATTGGCACTAAACATTAATTGACACAACCGTATGATGTATTTTCATATTGTAAAAAAACAAGAGATATAACAATGAGGATCAAATAGTTGCTTTTGTCATGTTAAGCTTATTTTATGAGAAGAATAAAATGTCATTTTTTATTTCATATAAACTATGACGAATCAAATTGTAACAAATAAAATTTATTGCTGACAAATTTGGAATGTCACTAATTCAAATCGATCGTCATTATAATAAATCGTCATTAATACTTTCTTTTCATTGGAGATGATTTTACAACGTCACAATTTTATTTAAACGTCATTGAAAGGTTTTCCACCAAATTTTTTGGAATAAATTTTTGGCGTCAAACATATAGTGAAATCAATGACCATTTTTACAATTGTCATAAAAGATATAACATTAATTACTAAATGTGACGAAAATAAAAAAAAAACGTCCCTTTTATAGTATATTTTGTGACGTTATACGCAACATCATATAGAAATTATGTCATAAATTGTTAAATTTGTTGTGGTGACAACAAATTTGTAAATTTATGACGAAATTTCTATATGACGTTGTGTATAACGTCACAAAATATACTTTAAATGTGACATCAGGGTATCGAGACTTGACCCTATGGTATCGATATTGCAAGTAGCGTATCAATACTACCCAATTTGAATGGTTAGATTTAACCTCTTTGAGGTCCATAAGAGCTAATTTGTAAATTTATAACGAAATTTCTATATGACGTTGTGTATAACGTCAGAAAATATACTTTAAACGTGACATTTTTATTTCGTGAGATTTAGTGATTGATGGTATATCTTTTATGACAATTTTAAAAAATGTCACCAATTTTCATCACTATATGTTTGGAGCCAAAATTTCCTGCCAAAAAAATATTTGGAGGGAAACTTTTAATGGCGTTTAGATAAAATAGTGATGTTATAAAATTGTCTCCAATGAAATGAAAGTATTACTGACGATTTATTATAATGACAATTTGATTTGAATTAGTGATGTTACACATTTTCCACTGATATATTTTATTTGTGACAATTTGATTCGTCTCTAATTTGTCACTAATTAGTGAAGTTGCAAATTTGTCATTTTTTTGTCACTAATTTTCTTAAACTTGTGTGTTTTATATTTGTTGAAAACATTTTGATATTTCGATATAACAAATTAAGATAAATGAATTTTAAGATTTTTCAAAAGATTTTCTAAGTATATTCGATATAATTATTCGAATATCAAAATATTACTCCAAATCTTTCAAATGTCATTTTTAATCCTTACTCAAGTGTAAAATTAAGTTTTAAACTTAAAATAATTTCAAAACAATTTTACAAAATATTTCAAACCATTTCAAAGCCAAAAATTCTAGATTGCTCCGAGGGAACCGATTCCCCCCCAAGGGGGTACCGATTCCCCCCTGTTTAACGGTCGAAATATTTGAATTTTACACTTACGGAATCGATTCCCCATGAGGGGGTACCGATTCCCCATGAGGGGATACCGATCCCCCCCACGCTCCAAGCTGTTTTATTAATTGATTTCACACTAAAACGACTCTATTGACTCCATTAATCATCCCCAACGTTCAGAATCATTTGAAGGTGTATTTAAACAAGCTTAGAAGCCATTGATCAAAAACAAAAAACAACAATCAACAAGAATCAAGAGAGAATCAAATAGAAAGCATCAAACCTCAAGTTTGAGCATTTCAAGCCTATTTTTCATTCAATATTCATTTTGCTTTCAAGAACACTACTTGTACTCAATTGTATTCATTTTTTAGTGTTCTTTTCTTTGTTCTAGAATTGTGCAAACAATCTACCTTGTGAGGATTTCCTTGTAAGTTTGCAAATTTGTAATATTCTCTTTGAGAAAGTGTTCTCAAGAATTGGGGTATATTCTTGAGGGAGTTGTAAGGTTATCTCTTTGGCCTCAAAAGAAAGAACAAATTAGTGAATTTGTTGGAAAATCCTTAGTGTGAATAGCTAAGGTAGTGGACGTAGACTTTGATTGAGAAAGTCGAACCACTCTAAATCGATGTGCAATTACTTTCAATTTTCTGCAAAAGCTTCCACAAAAATTTTAATTGCCAATTCACCCCCCTCTTGGCCAATTCCTTCGATCAATTAACAATTGGCATCATAGCCTAACTCATTTAAAGGTTTAATCACCTCTTGAGTCGATTCGGGAAGAGTTATATCGATAATCAAAGTCATCAATGGCCTCCACTTCAAACGTCGACTCCGGTCTCGATTCGATGCCTGTCAACAAGCCTCCTTTCTTCAATGGAGCTAACTATGCCTATTGGAAGAATAGGATGATGTATTTCATTCAAGCTAGTGACATGGGAGCATGGAATGTTGTAGAAGACGGATATATCAAGCCTCTCACTCATCCAAGATTGTGGAGTGAATGAGAGACAAGAATGTTCCAGCTCAACTCCAAAGCCATCCATATCATATTTTGTGCTCTTGGACCAGATGAATATGGAAGAGTTTCATCTTAGTACAACCGCCAAAGAAATATGGGATAAACTACAAGTCACTCATGAAGACACCGATGAGGTAAAAGAATCTAAAATTAGTCTTCTAACACATAGCTATGAAAATTTCAGGATAAAACCAAATGAAGATATCAAAGCTATGACGGATAGATTCTCAACGATTGTCAATGGTCTCAAATCATATGGAGAGATCATTCCAAACGTAAAGCTTGTGAGGAAGTTAGTTTACTCACTTCCAAAATCATGGCAATCCAAGAAGACTACAATCATCGAGGCTAAGAACCTAAAGTCCTTAACTCTTGAAGAGATAATCGGTTCCCTCCTCACTCATGAAATGATGATTGAAGATGAGGTGGTCCTCAATAAGATTGACGAGACACCAAAGGAGAATGAGAAGAAGAAAAACATTGGAGTTGCTCTCAAATCCATAAAAGATGAGAGTGATTCGGATGAAGATGACGATGACGATGACGAGGAAATGACATTGTTTGCCAAACGGTTCAGAAAAATGATGAGACCTTACCAAGGAAGAAAATTCAAACGAAATGAAGGCCTCAAAAATGAACCAAAAGAGAAGGACCCTATCATTTGCTATGAATGCAAAAAGCCGAGGCATGTCAAATATGATTGCCCATAATTAAAAAGAAAGGGTCAATCAAAGA